AATTTGGGTTTGACTTGTTCAGCCCCCAGAATTTTGGGGTGTCTTTGTTAAGCAAACCTACACAAGTGTTGGGTGAGCACAATGTATTGAGGGTTTGGATCTCTCTCACTGGGGTTCTCAACAGTTCCGCGAACGGAGGGCCTTAACTCTTTAGAGACCAGCAAATGGCAACAGGACGGGAGCCTTGGTCTGCTGACTGTGGCTGTAGTCAGACGCTGCCCTGGGGGAGCTTGAGAAGGAGTTCCTGACGCAGGTCGGGTAGATGGAACCAGCACCCTCCAAAACGAAGAGAATTCCAGGCCACTAGCTTCAAACCACACAGGGTCTGTGAGCAGTTTCTTTCAATCCCCTGGTCTGTATGACTTGACCTGAAAAACCAAGCTTTGGGTTGGAGGCCTGGCCCACAGCCAGGAAGGGCTAAGTTGTTCCCTTTAACAAAGGCCTACAGCTCCCCATCCTGGGTGGGCTTTGGGCCAAGGCTGTGTGCCTCCAGCCAGCTCCCTGGGGCTGCCACCTGAACTATGGCTCCGAGCCTTGCTGTCCTTGCTCCTAGGTTTAGCATGTCAGGATGGCCCCCTGGTCATGGGTCTAGCTCTTGAGGTGCTAGTGGCAAGGCTGAGCCTGGGGTCTGGTTCTGGAGGTGGCTGCAGGGTTACAGAGCTGGAGTCCTGAGTTTTATCTCTGGCTTTCCTGATGGCACCAGGTTTGATTGACCATATCCAGCATGGCCCCTCACCCAGAGAGACCTGGGTTTAATTCCTACAGTGACCAGTTAGCTGTGTGTACATGGGCAGATTGCTTAATCATTCGGTGGTGCCTCAGTTTACTTCCTTGCAAAGCAGGGAAAATATCACCCTCTGTGATGAGGAGGGGAGACCATGAAGAGCACGTGTCACCATGGGAATGAGTTAATGGGAGCCATTATTGTTACCAGCCTTCTGTTCCCTGCAGGAGACAGCAATTGGTACCCAGGCCCTCTTCCCTCCTGGGAGAGCCCCAGACAGCTCCCTGGGGTCCCCAGGCTGGGTTCTCTGAAAGGGTGGATGAACAGAGAAGCCATTTCCAGGGCAGCAAGCCTCCCAGGGAGTGCTCGGGCCCCATCTCCTCCAGCCCCCAGCTGCCAAGGCCCGTAACTCTGGGCTACAGCCCTCGGGGGAGCTGTGAAAGCTTCAGCTTTTACCTCCATCTCGTGCACTCCAGGCCCTCAGGACCCACCCCAGGACCTGCAGAGGGATAGATAAGACAGGCCTGGCCCCCACCCTCCGCCAGGAAGGAGGGTAGGCAAGTTTGCAGAAAGAATGCCCTGGAGGCTGGGGCTGGAGCTGGAGCTCAGCATTAGAGCATTGCCTAGCAAGAAGGAGACTCTGGGTCGATTCCCAGTGCCACCAAAACAAAACAAAAACAAAAACAAAACCAACACAGCAGAGGAAAGAGTGGCATGCTTTCCGTCTGAGGCACCCTCCGCTGAACCCTCAGGGTAATCCCAACAGCCCAGTCTGAGACACTGCAGACTGGCCTTGGTGGCTGCTCCTCCCTCTGCCGCTTCCCTTCCCCTCACTCCACGTCCAGAGGGTGCCATGACCAGTCCCATCTCTCTGATGTCCCAGCTGCCCGTGGCCTTCATCCTCCTGCCCCCTTGAAGCTCCTGTGAACCCTGTGATCTCTCTAGACCCTGCCCCTGCTCTGGTCCCTCCCTGGTCACCCTGGTCACTCCTCTGCTGGCAGTCCTTTCTCTAAGGATGAAGGTCAACCCAGCCTGACCTTAAGGCCTTCCTCACTGTCCCACCTGCTCTCCCCAGGGTGTCCCTCACAGGGCTCCTTCCCTCCCTGCTCACATCATCCTCTTCCTGCACCAGACTTCTCTGGAGCCCAAGCAGCCCTCCCGACACGCCGCTGTTCCCCTGCCCGCAGTGCTGTCCTGCCCGGTCCCCCTGCCATTCCCATTTGTTTTCAATGGTTTGACGCCTGACTCTAAGTCAGGGAGGCAATTCAAAATTCCCTGTTCACATTTTTCTGGAAGCGGGTCAATTTTACATCTCAGTGTTTAAACTACTGCATAAAAATCACTTTCATAAATCACAAAAATAAAAAAGCTAATTCTGGTATTCTTATTCTTTTAAATCCCCCTTTAAAAGTTTCCTTCACTATGAGGTTTTTAGACATCCACAGGAAGATGAGCAGCTTCTTCTGGCTGCACCTCTTTTGCTGTGACTTGTGGATGTTGGGGAGGCAGGGCCCACCTGTCCCTGGTCTGTATATTCCTGTGGCAACTCTAACACCATGTGAAGGCCACAGCTGATTTCTTTCCAGGCACAGTGGCACACTCCTGTAATCCCAGTGACTTGGGAGGACAAAGGAGGAGGATCTCAATTTTGAGGCCACCCTCAGCAACTTAGTGAAGCTGTAAACAACATAGTGACACAGTGTCTCAAAATAAAAAATAAAAACGGCTGGGGGTGTAACTTAGTAGTTAAAGCATCCCTGGGTTCAATCCCCAGAGCACAAGTGCGTGCATACACAACTACACACACACACACACACACGCTGATTTCTTGGGGCGTTCACAAGTTGCTGTGAGGCAAAACCCTGCCAGAGCATTCACTGTTGACTTTACATGGCCCTAGAGCTGCCATGGGAGTAGATGAAGACCAGGGACAGAGATGACGCTGCTTTCTGCCTTTCCTGTGGTTCTTCCCTGGAGTAGAAGTCCACAGCAGAGGTGAGTGCTGGCCAGTGGCTGGGGCTTGCCGTGCCCCTCTGGCCTGGACTCAGCTTACTGTGACATGTTGGAGTAGCTCTGGCTCAAGAGCTGAAGCAAAGGGAATTTGGCAAAGAAGGTGTCACGGCTCAGCAAGCTGGGCCTGGCTAGGAGGGCGGCTGTTTCTAGTCCAGGGGGTGTCGGTCAATGGGCCCCTGCTCCTGTCCTGCAGATTACAAATCATGTGATGCCCTCTGGTTCATCACGTGGTAAAAGACAAGAATGACCTCTTAGCTTCTAAAAGCTCTAAACTCTGGGAGCCCCAGTGTCTTGCACAGTGCCAGGCAGATTTGGGCTCCCATTTCAGTGCATCTTGACTACTGTTTGACCCTCAGGAAGTTTCTTCAACCTCTCTGAGCCTCGGGTTCTTCATCTGTAAAATGGGGCTGTAATACCTGCCTCACAGGGTTGTAGACATGGGCACGGGCCTGAGGTTCCTTCCACTCTGTAACTAACTGCTGGTGACCCAAGCTGCTCGTGACAGTTGCACTTGTCCTTTGCTTTGAAAGCCTCCCTGTGGCAGGTCTTCTGGTGACATCCTGAGAGTGGGTTGGTTGGATGCTGCCACATTAATACCTTTTTTAGTTTGCAGTTGCTGGAGATAGGGCCCACGGCCTCACATGGGCTAAGCGAGCACTGTAACACTGAGCTGCAAGCCCAGCCCTTTTGAACCAGGCACGGTGGCGCATGCCTATAATCCCAGTGACTGAGGCAGGAGGATCACAAGTTCAAAGTCAGCCTCAGCAACTTATTGAGGCTCTAAGCAACTCAGCAATATTCTGTCTCTAAATAAAATATAAAAAAGAAAGGGCTAGGGATATGGATCAGTGGTTTAGCATCCCTGGGTTCAATCCCTGGTACTAAATAAATAAATTTATTTCGAGACAAGATCTCACTAAGTTACCCAGACTGGCCTCAAATTTGTTCTCCTTCAGCCTTAGCCTCCCAAGTACAGAATTACTGTGCCACCACCCTACTTTAACACTTTTTTTTGACAACTGCTGATCTCCCCAAGAATCAGGAGGATGCTATTTTCCAGCACATGGTAATTTCCCTTGCTTTTAATTCTCCCATCTTTCTTTTTTTTTTTTTGGGGGGGGGGGGTGGTACCAGTGATTGAACTCAGGGGAACTTGACCACTGAGCCACATCCCCAGCCTTATTTTGTATTTTATTAGAGACAGGATCCCACTGAGTTGCTTAGTACCTCACTTTTGCTGAGGCTGGCTTTGAATTCGCAATCCTCCTGCCTCAGCCTCCTGAGCTACTGGGATTACAGGCTTGCACCACTGTGCCCAGCAATTCTGCCATCTTTCTGAGAGATTCTGTGTCCTTTTTCAGGGTTCTGGACTGCCAACAGGACTCAGGCCTGAGCCAGGCTCTTCAAGAACAGCCTGGGAGGGAGGCAGGGCAGACGCTGACCACTCCATGGGATTACTGTAGTGTCAGGGTGAGTCCTAGGGGCCGCGGAATCCAGGAGGACACCTGACCCCCAAAGTGCAGGGGAGAAGGAATGGATTGGAGAGGAGGCCTGGGCCAGCTCACAAACAGCTGGGAGCCACACTCGAGCTCTCTGGCCGAAATAGGAGTCCTTAAAAAATAAGTTCCCACCCGCTGCACATAAAGAAAACATGATGATCATAAACACAGAACCAATGTGGGCCTTTATGCAGGGAAGATGAGGCTGAGCCTCCTGGGAGGATGATATGGGGGAGGGTCAATGGGAAGCCTACACCACCCAGCCCCGTGCGGATCTGAGCTGTAGTGAGGCTGTGATGGGGCTGAGGACAGATAATTTGGAAAGTAGAATGGCCAGGATTCAAGACTGCTCGTAGTGGATGAGGGGAGCCAATGGACGCCATGTACATTTGTGACCAGCCAGATGACCGTACCTGGCTGGGAACCCTGTAGGTAAGTTTGGACCTGCTGAGTTTGAGGTCTCTATAGAGTCCCTGAGTCAGGGACTTGGTATGGGAGTCACCAGTGAGGAAGGCAGAATGATGAGGTCCATTGTGGCAGGTGGAGGGGAGGGGACTAGCCTGGGGTCACATAACCAGCAGGGACTGCCAGAGAGGAGCTGGCACTACCAGGGTGGGCTTGCACCAGACCAACCTGGCCCCGGGGCCTCTCCGCGTGCTCCACCTCGGCTAACAACCGAAGGAAAACCTCAAACCTCGCCAACTGGGAGTCTCAGTGCAGCTGGTTTTTATTATTAAAGCCAAGGTCGGAAAATGGCTGTGCCCCCTCCCCAGCCCCCCACCCTCCAGATCTGTCCGTCACATTGTGTGAAGGTGAAAACTAGATTTGTCTTGAAGAACTCAGAAATGCTCATGCCGGAATGAGAAATGAGGACAAATGAAATAGGCTCAGATGGTGGTCTGTGTCGGCTCCACCCAGGATTCCTGGAAAAGACGGCTTGGGGTGGGGCTGCAGCCCCTGCTCACAGTGCTGTTCCCGAGGGTCCAGGGTGGGCATCAGGAACGAAGGCAACGGAAGAGGCTGAGCTGGCCCCCGTACTCTACCCTGCTGAAACTGGGCCACAGGCTGGTTTTTGTAAAAATGGTTAAAAAAAACCCCAAAAACAAAAACAAAACCCCAGCCATGAGCACCACCCTCCCCTGAGCAGGGCAAGAGGAGGCGCCAGCTCTGGGCTTTGAGGTCTGAGGCACGTGGCCTCCTGGTCTGGCGTCACCTCCCTGGAGGCAGGCAGCACCCTGAGGGAGGCCAGGCAGGATCCTGGGCCCCTGTGTGGCCTTCGGTGGCCTCCGGGGTCCCTAGAGAGCTTCAAGATGGCTGTCTCCCCTCCTCCCCCAGTGAACTTGCAGGCTCTAGGCCTCAGGGACCCTGTGTAACTTTTGCTCTTTGGATTCCAAAGATCTGAACTTCTCCTCCAGCACGGCGGTGGCGGGCTGGAAGTGGATGACAGGCTTGATCTGAAAGACAGTGAAGCCCTCCTGGTTCTTCTGGTTGAACAGACTTACCCTGTGCTCCAGCTCAGGGCTGGCGTGGGCCGAGCCGGCTGGGCTGGGCCGGGCCAGGGGGGCTGGGTCCAAGGCCCTCTGGGACGGGCAGGGGTCCTCTGACAGGGAGGACAGCAGGTCCCGCACCGTGGCCTCTGCCATCTGCGGCTGGGGTGGGGGCGGCAGTGGCAGGGAAGAGGGGCCGGGCTCAGAGGATGGCTCTTCTCGGGCGGTGCTGCAGTCTGTGGAGGAGCCCAGGGTCTGGCTGCTGTCGCTCTGGGCCCAGGTGACTGAGCTGTGGGTGGCACCCTCCGAGGTGGCACTGGCACAGGTGCCGTTGCCACCGAGCTTCAGGGGCACATCAACTGAGAAGAGGTCTGAGGAGATGTTGGGCTGGTGGATGTCGATGGCCGCCGTGGTGACCACACACACAGCTGGTTCTGGGACCCCGCTGTCTGCAAGGAAGGAGGCAATGTCGGTCACACCTCGCCTTTGGCCATGCCTCGCCCAGTCCTGGTGTGAGTGGGGCTATCAGCGGGGTTGGTGGGGTGGGCAGTGAGTGTGGGCAGCCTATGGGAGGCAGCCTTCAAGGAGGGAGGCCTCAGGGGAGCCCCGGTTCCTGGTCATTCTTCACTGCCGCTCATCTTGTTGAATTCAGGTGCAGATATGTGACATATTTTGATGTCATCCATGAGAAGTGACTTGTGGCACTTCTGAGTGAAAGTTTTATGAGCCAGTATCCTAGAGTCAATGGTGGCTGCTGGGCAAAATGACCTGGGAGCAGAGCCTGAGGCTACTTGCCTTGGGCCATTGGTGCTTTATTTAAGCCACCCAGGGGCAGGGGCATTTGTTACACTAACCTAACCCAGTCCGTCTTAACTCAGAGAGCACCACGTGCCTGGACAAGGGGCATGGATTTCTCAGTCTGCGGAATCACTGGATGTTTTTGAGACCAGCGTGGGGAGTGGAGAGTGGCCCGATCAGCCTTGGCCTGCAGAAGATTGGCTGGTCTGTCAGGAAGCATGGCAGGGGCAGGGGACACTCCTCAGCTCTGCTCGGGGTGACACAAATCAGGGGCTAAACTGCAGTGAGGGTAGGGAGGGAAGATGGGGAGAGGGGTCTGGACTAGAGACTGATGGTCTTTGAAACCAGCAGTTTGGATGAGGCTTGGAGAAGAGGAAAGAGGTCTTTAGGAGCCGAATGATAGAAAAGAAAAAATTCAAATACATCATACATTGTGCAACTTAATATTCTATCTCTACAATGGGCATGCAAGGATTTAGGGGCTGTGAATTCCAAACTTGGGGTTTAAGGTGTTGGCAAAAAGGAAACAAGATGCCAAAGGACAACGTATTGTTTTAATACCTTGTCCAATCTTTCCCGTAAGTAAAACCCACTAGGCTTCCCTGAGACTTTACGGTAAGAAGGAAACAATCCGAGGCCTGTTGCCCCTCGGCCCAGGCCCATGGCCTGAGCTCCCCTCCACCTGGCTCACCTGAGGGGGTTTCAGGATGGGGGGAGCCCATCTGGATCTCACCCCCCTTTCATTGCAAGGCTCCATGGCAGCTTTCATGGGTCAGTGATCACAAAACACCCCACTCCAGCACCCGCAGGCTCAGCCCGTGGCCACCCCAGCTCTGGCCCTGGAGTCTGCTGCCATCTCTGAAGCAGGACTAAGTTGTGCCGGCCCTCAGGTGTGGGGGTGAGGGGGTGGCAGGGACCTGGGGCTGCACAGCGGTTCATGCAGAACAGCTCCATCCCAGACTCACCGCTGCTGGGCCCATTGTAGTACTGACTGATGTAGCTGTTCATGTCGTCCTTCACAGCGGCTTCTGTGGAGTGGGAACAGAGAAGAGTGCGTGGGGTGGCTTTCAGAGTCCAAGAGACAAGGACTGTGGCAAGTTCATGCTTCACCTCGACCTCCTGTCTGTACACCTATGGCCACGAGAAGAGGCACCTGTCTCTCAGAAGCCCTACCTAGGTGGGATGGAAGCCTCCTTGTTCTGCACAGAGCAATGTCTCAGAGTCCCAGATTTGGGCTGTACCAGGAACCAGGGGACCCAGGTTCTGATGCATTATGTACCTTGATACCTGACCTGGACAGACCTTTTCTCTCCCTGTCCCCCATCTCTGAGATGAGTGGTGTGGAAATAATTCCTCAAGACTTTTCCTGTCTAGATGCCCTCAGTGTCTAAATCCACCTGAAGTTCTCAGGGTCACCAGAACCGCTGGCCTCAATGCAGGAGACCCAAGATGCTGTTGGCAGGAACACACAGCCAGCTACAGGACTGAGTATCCCTGACGACAGTCCCCCTGGGCTCAGTCCATCTGAGGCCTCTAGTCTTCCATGCCATTAACCCTGGGGGACAGTGCTGGGGATCCCTGCTCAGTTCCTATTCTGTGTAATGTTGAGAAGGCTATTTAGTGGCTGAAGGCTGACTGGGTCAAGGGAGATGACATGAAACAGGGTCTTAAAAAAAAATCAGTTCATTGTCCTGAGAGGAGTGAGGAGAGAAGGTAGGTGATTCCCAGAGTGGCCTGAGAGCAGGAGGAAACAATGGGTCATGGGAGACCTCCAAGGCCATCCTGAGGAGCTTGGTCTGACCCAGTGAGGAGCCCCAGGAAGGTTTGAACATGGCCAGGTGGGATTTGGAGGGGTCACTCCTAAGATTGTAGGGACAGTGTCTGGAAGGGGACAGCCTTCAGGCAGGGAACAAGAGGTGCAACACCCCAGGGGGGTGACAGGCCCTGAGGGTGGGCAGTGCCTCATGGGACAGGCAGGGACAGAGTCGAGTGATAACAAGAGAATCCTGGCAGGGGTTAGAGAGTGATGGGATAGGACCTCGGTGCAGACGGGCAACCTGTCAGGCTGGGATTGCCCACTCCACACCCCAGCTCCACCGTGAGTCTCTGAGCCTCCGTCTCTTGCCTATAAAATGGGGACGGCGACACCTAGTTTCCTGAGCTGTTATGGAGATGAAAGGAGCTAACCCTGAGTCAGGTTTCTAGAGTGGGGCCTAGCCTTGCTCCTCCAGGCAGTCCAGAGCCCGAGACCACACCCGCGGGGCTTCTCAGAGGAACCGAGCTCTGCAGACGTGATGCTCCTGAGGCCACCCTGCCGGCCACACCCGAGTTAGCTGCAGAAGCCCATCTGCCCTCACACAAGGAGGCCGAGAGACAGCACAAGCAGAGGCCTGGCTCTTAAAAGCTTTTTTGGCCTCTTTTATCTTTCAATGCCTGCGGTCAGAGGTGTGTCTACAGTAATGCGGGAGCTGAGGGTGTGGCTGGGGATGGCTCCAGGCCCCTCCAGCATTAGCCGGCAATAACGTTTGCTGTAAATGCTGTCTGGCCCTGCTGGCTGCCCTGGGAAGCTGGAGGTGGCTGGCATGGCTGCTGTCATTCAAGCAGTAGAGGTAAAGGACCACCAGGCCCGCGGGCCGGGCAGGAGGACCTCACTCTAGCTGTGTCCTGGTGCTGCCAGGTCACATTCCCTCTCCAGGCCTTAGTTTCTTCATCTGCACCTCGAAGGTACTAGGGAGGCTCCTACAGATTATGATGTAGATGTAGCCGTGTCAGATGGCTCTGAAGCTCTAAGAGGTGACACAGCAGAGGGAGAAGGGGCCGGAGGCATCTAGGCCATCCCCTTGACCCCCAGTGCAGGATCACCTCAGAGCCGAGGCTGCCCCCCACAGCCACAGGCCTCTGGGGAGCAGCGCCTACATTTGCTGGGCAGCTCTGATGACAGACTGTTGGGCAGCCTCCCCTTCGTTTGTGCCCATTGGGGCCGCAGTGGGCCCTCTGCCAGGTGTTATTGAGGCCAGGAGTCCTGCCTCCAGGGAACATAGTTGGAGCCCCCTGGGCGTCCACTCCTTGGTGGAGCAGCCAATCTCCATTTCATCAGGAAGTGCCTACTATGTGCAAAGCTTGAAGAGCCTGCTTCTGCCTTCCCCACTGGTACCAAGGAGAAGCTGGGGCTTCTAGACAACAGACCTTCCAGCTCTCACAGGCCCCTCAGGCCCATCCTGAGCAGTGTCCTCTGCAGGTAGCCCCTGCCCAGCTCTGGCCCTCCCTACTTTCCAGCCTTTCCACACTGAATGCTTCACTGTGGGTTCCAGATGGGTACAGAGGTGGGGAGGAGGCAGGAAGGGAGCCCCAGTCCTGATCAGTGCCGCACACGCTCATTTTGACCCCTAGCCGGGCCCTGCCTGATGGGGACTATTGAACAGACTGGTCTGGTGCCATCATCCCCCCCAACATCCTCTGTGTGTTGAGCAACCACCCTCTCTACTGACTCACACGGAGCTTGGCTAGCATGGATGCCCAGGTCTCCTCTGAGGAGTGGGAGTCAGGCCAGGCCTCACCGTCCCCCACCAGGGCTTTGCATCCACTATCCCAAGTAAAGGTGGGCAAAGGTGGGCGTGTCCATCTCAGCACTGAGGTGCAGCTTGCTGGAAGCATTCTGAGTGTGGGTTCAGCCTGCTGAGTCTCTGACCCCTCTCCCATACATATTTGAGGATGCTCACATCTTAATCCAAGTAAAGATAACCTGAGCCTGGTGACCTCCAGACCAGACCTTTTTTTAAAATTTTTAAAAAATTGTAGATGGGCACAATACCTGTATTTATTCATTTATTTGATGCTAAGGATCAAACCCAGTGCCTCACACGAGCTAGGCAAGCGCTCAACCACTGAGCCCCAGCCCCCAGACCTCTCTTTTGAGCTTACACTGGTCTGCCTGGTCCCCAGGCAACTTCTCCTGAATGGCCTCCAGCTGCCTCTAACTCAACAAGTCCAAAATTGAACCCAGCTTCTCCCTCCCCTCCAGCATCCTTTGCCTTGGTGACTTAGTTCCTCTGCCCACCTGCGGTGGGATCCTGGTCACTTCTCTGTGCCTCCTTTCTTTCTTTACCAACACCCTGACTCCCACTAAGTCGTGGCCAGTCAAGGGACCCCTGAACCCTCTGCTGCAGCCCTGTGTCCAGCCTTAAGTGAGACCTCACATTTTCCCCTTTGGGCTCTTGCCCTACGTGGGTTTGATGAATGGGATCACTCACTCATTACAGGTGTCTGACAAAGAGCCTGGGCCCCAGGTGGCCACAGAAACTCTGACCAGTATGCACTTTCTCCCCCTGCCCTCACTCCCTCTGATCCAGACCTGAGTCACAGTCTGGGAGGGGGCCTGTCCAGACATCCCTGGGACTGCTGACACAGGCCTCATCTGCCCTCTGCTTCACACTGGCCCCCAGATTCTCACCTCCCAGAACTGACTCCTTGGGCTGGGGTTCTTCTGCGCCCCCACAGGGGTCTCAGGAGTCACACTTTACTCAGATTCCCTGTCACTCAGTCTGGGGTTTGGCATATGACAGGTGCTGATGGCGGCCTGGACAGAAGGCTGTGGCTGAGTCAGAGGCCTGTAAGACTCCCTAGCCTCCCTGGCCCCACTCCAAGATGCCACAGGGCCACTGTGGGATGCTGTCTGCACTGGTCAGCCTGCAGCCTCACCCCTCCCCACACTTTCTACTGAGAGACCCACAAGTGCTGGGTGTCTGGCAGCCTGGGAGACAGGACGGGAGGGGAGGCAGGTGCAGCCAGCCTCACAGAGCTGCCCTCTTCCGCCTAAGCTCCTGCCGCAGGTTTTGTTTGGATTCAACGAAACAGCCTGGGCACCAGCTCCAGCTCAGCAGGCACTTGCTCTGTGGCCTTAGGCAAATCCCTAGGACCAGCTTCCTCACTCATAAAATGGGAATAGCAAATACTTAGCTGCGGGTGCCCTGTAAAGATCCCAAGATGACAGTGGATCCAGAAGCTGAGGCAGGAGGATCACCAGTTCAAAGCCAGCCTCAGCAACTTATTGAGACCCTAAGCAACTTAGCAAGACCCTGTCTCAAATAAAATACTGAAAAAGGGGCTGGGGATACGGCTCAGTGGTTAAGCGCCCTGAGTTCAAAAAACCAAAAACAAAAACCTGAGATGATGCGTGTCTAGTGGCCACAGTGCTTACCGCTGGCCCAAAGTCTCTAGTGGTTTCTGTGGCTGCTGCTCTCTGCCACCTGGCGCCTTTCTTCTGGGGTGTGAGCACTTTCAAACCCACCTGACTAATCCTCCAAAAGCCCTTGGAGTGTGAGGTGCCAACACTCATTACGTGGGTTTTACTCCTTCAGCAGCCCCAACCTACTATTGAGGCAGAGAGGGCTGGTGAGTCAGCTGGGCCAGGTTTCTGGAGGCGACAGAACCAGCCGTGCCTCACGTGCTCTGGGTGACAGAGTGGCAGGAGGTACCTGAGCTCACATCCTCTGAAGACCCATGTCCCCAAGACCCGGGGGAAGCCCTGATTCCTGGTATGGTGTTCTGAGTTTGCTGGCTTGTCAGCCCTCACTGAAGGGGACACTACACACTGAACACCTACTGTATACCAAGCATGAAAGCTAAGCACAGGATGGAATGCCCAACCCTCCTCAGCGAAAAGACGCTGCTGTTGTCCTCATTCTGGGAAAGTTGGGGCTCAGAGGCAGGACCAGCCACATAATTTATAGGCCTCTCATTCAAAAAGTATTAAGAATTTCAAGAGGGTGACAGTAGAGCATCAAACCAAGCTCAGGTCCCTGTGTGATCATGCAGATCACGTCCATGAAGCCGACTCAGCTCAGAGGTCAAAGAACTTGTTCAAGGCCAAGTTGAGACTCAGCCTGGACCTGAGTCCTGAACCATGTCCATAATTGCTTCAAATACTACTCTGTGAGGCTCTCTCAGCTCTAGTGCTACAGATCTGGGGCTCCCTGGGACCCCAGTGCCCCCATCAGGCATACACACTTGGGGGACAATAGAGGCACCTAGGAGTACACAGGTCCTGTCCTCTCCACAGGTGAACCCTGGAGCCAGCTCAGCTCTCTGCCCACTGCTCTTGTGGGGGGGAGGTGCAGCCAGGGCTGGCCGGAGGCAACTCTGTGGCAGTTTCCCTGGACGCTGGCGCAGTGTAGGGGGAGACGCCAAGGTCTGCTTGCTGTGATATACGGTGAAATCTGTGGCACTCCTACCAGGGGCTGTAATTCATAAGTTATGGGCGAGCTTCAAGACTAATAAATTTGGGAGAGAAGTATTAATGACTACACAGGGGCACTGTGAACTTGGCAGGCCCCAAAGCCTGGAACTTTGCAGCCCAGGTTTTAAAAATGATTTGTGCTACAGCAAGTCTAAACAGAAGCCCGTCCGCGTTGTCTGACTGTGACCTGCTGGCAATTGTTGAGACTGTAGAAGCCACTTCCTCCTCTCCAGGCTGAAGCTGCTGCTGGGGCCAGCACCCCCACCCTCCCGGGGAGCAACAGCCTCACAGGGGAGGCGCTGGCCCCCTCCCAAGGTTCCTGTGACTCATCGCTCATGTCTGCAGGTTAATGTCCAGATCCCGTGTCCTATTGTGAATGCAGCAGGTCTCAGAGCCCTACTGGCCTGAAGGTCATGGAAGGCAACAAACGCTGCCCTTTCTTAATCTCCAGAGTGGCCCAGAATGCCCCCAGTTTGTCCAACCATAATTTCTAATGACCTGAAAATCCCTCCCTGAACACAGCTCCTGGTCAGAGAGTGCTCAGCTAGGGGATGCCCTGGGCCACTCAAGGCTGTGAATCCTTCATGCCTCCCATCCACCCCCACGTTCTGTCCTCAGGCTTAGAGGCATAGGCTGTGCTATTGAGGGCTCTGGGAATTGGCTGTGAAGTGGTAGATAGGGAATGCATTACGTGGCTGCATAGATGGGCATGTGCAGGGCAGGTGAGCACCTGTGGAGCAGGAGGTGCCCAGGTGATGTTGCATAGGAGGTACCAGGCAGCTGAGGTGGGGTTCCAGGGCTGGGCAGGAGGAACATTTGCAATTGCTCCCAGGGGTGCATGTTGGGTCCCTCTACGGGGAGCCTGAGCCTGCTTATTTGGAATTCTTCCCCAGTGCTTAGGAGGGTGAGAGGTGAGCACAGACCCCATGACACCTGGCTAATGACATGCACCCAAAAAAGTTGACCCTTGGGCCTGCCCCTGCCTCCCTCTTCCTCCTGGAAGTTGCCACTATGTGGGCTGCTGACAGGAGGAGCAGGATGGACAGTGACTCAGAGCTTTGTTGCACTGCTAGAATGTGTGGTGGGATTTGAAAGACTTCATGTGTTTGGACCCAACCATGGTCTCCAGTGTCCAGCATCTGCAGGCCACTGACTAAGGGACAACAATCCCACTCTCATCTTCAGAGCCAAGAGCTCTGATGAGAGAGATGATAAGGAGGCACTGGGGAGGGCAGAAGTGTTCAGACCTGCCTCAGGGAACTGGGCAGGCCCAAGCCCCCGTGAGCCTCAGCAGTGAGGGTTCAGCAGGGACAGCGGCACAGCAGCCTCTCACTCACTTTGCTCCACCAGGGAGGAAAATCCAGGATGGGTCTCATGACTGCAAATCAGCCCCTTCTTTTCTGTGGAAGCCAGACCAAGGGGACAAAAGTTGTTGCTCTTTTCCAGAAGAACTTTCAAGAAAGTTCTTCCCTTCCTTAGGAAGAGAGCAGGGGGAAGTGGCACATGGCTGAGGAAGGGGGATTGCAAGTTTGAGGCTACCCTCTTCAGCTTAGCAAGGCCCTAAGCAACTTAGTGAGACTCTGGCTCAAAAAATCAAAAGGACTGGGGATGTAACTCAGTGGTAGAGTGCCCCTGGGTTCAATGCCCAGTATCAAAAAGAAAAAGATGGTGGTTTCCACATGCCTCAGCTTGGGGAGCCAAGAGTTCGGAGTTTGGGGTCTCTGGGTGTGGACTATGTGGCAGCCACTGAGCACCAAGAAAGCTGAGCTGCAGGGACCCAGAGGGGATGAAGCCAGAGCCCTGCTTGGTTCAGTTATAGATTGGTAGACTCCATTCAGTCTATTTGAAGAGCTGCTGAGGCTCAGGCCTGGAGGAGCCCTGGAGACACAGGAGCCAGACAGATAGACAAACAGGGCAGCCCTGCATGGGGCCTAGTAGGAGTTGATGTGAGGTCCCGAGGGCTGGGTGTGGTGACCCAGGAGCACACAGAGTTGGGTTCCAAGGATGAGAAATTTGGCACAGTCCAGGCCATCCACTGAACAGTGTGTGGAAAGACTCAGAACAGACAGAGGCTCCTGGGTGAAAGCCAAGATGGGGCGAAGGAGATGAGGTTGGGGATCAGCAGGGGTCTCCTGCCACCTATTAGGGGATGAACTACTGTGTTCCATCCAAATTCATGATGTTGAAGTCTTCAACTCTAGTACTGGAAGGTGATCTTATTTGAAATCAAGGTGGCTGCATGTGTAATTAGTCAATAGGAGATCATACTGGAGTAGGTAGCCCCGATCCAACATGAATGGGGCCTTTACAAAAAGAGGAAATCTGGACACAGACACACAAGGGAGAACGCCGTGTGCAGATAGAGATGGGTGATGCTCCTACAAGCCAAGAAGGGCCAAGGAGTGCCAGCCACCACCAGAAGTTCGGGAATCACCGAGGAACCGGCTCTCTGTTGCAGCACTGAGAGGAACCAACCCTGCCAACCCCTGTTCTCAGACTTCTGGTTTCCAGGACCATGAAACAACTTTCTGCTATTAAGACACCTAGTTGATGGCATTTTGTTATAGGGGTTCCAGAAAACCAATATACCACCCTAAAGGACTTGGGTGTTTTCCTGAGGGACACAGGGAACCAGTCAAGGGTGTCAAGGCATTAAGTATTTTGGGAAGATGGCTGTACAGTGAGGAGAAGGGACTGCAGAAGGCACCTAGGGGACAAAGCTGAGATCAGGAAGCCTTGCAAGGTCCAGAAATGGTGAGGACTGAGTAGTGAAGATGAAGAAGGGAACATTTCAAGGTATATGTAGGAAGTAAACCCAGCAGGTACTGGTGATGGGCTGTGAATCCCATCTACCGGGCCCTGGAGTGAAGGCAGGACTTGACAAGCTATGGCGGAACCCAGATGAATGTCCAGTTCAGCATGGGAATATGAACAGCCAGTTGCTTGCGGGTGGGCTGCAGGGAGGGGGGCTCAGCAGAGCTATGTGTGGAGAGCGTGAAGCCTGGGTCTGCTGGGAACTCAGGCCAGGGAATCAGCACAAGGCTCAGGAGCCTTTGGACTTCATCTGGGAGTCTGGGGTCCAGAACAAAAAAGCAGCAATGGCCCCTCATTACTGCCCAGGCCTTGGAGCTCCCAACAGCTGCCTCAGTTCTGGATGTTACTCTGGAGAGCCCAGGGCAGGGAGAGTGAGCAAGAACCTGGAGAGTCTGTGCCCTGAGGACTGGCTGTGAGGATGCAGGTGACCATCCCCGGAGGGGAAAATAGTCTGTGAAAGGATGTCGCACCTGGGAGGGCACCTCTCTGTGCATAAAAACCACGTCCACGAGGGGAAGGCAGGTGGGGGACAGGCCTCAGCTCTGTCTCAGGAAGCAGGTCTTAGAGCCATTTAAAGGGGGGGGGGTGGGCTGCTCAGGGAGGTGCTAAGTACCTCTTAGAGAAGGGTGAGCTGGGGCCTCATGGCCTCTTGGGGGAGTTAGAGATGGGCTTCTCTAACTAGTTTCAGCAGTCCCTTCTGGCCCCCAAATTCTGTGGTTCTAAGATCTGAAAATTTATCAGAACATCATATAGCAAGCTCATTGCCCACACCCGTTCTCAGCAGTATCAGCCCACAGAGCTTCCTCCCAGCCACCAGTTCCTCATACTTTCTGTGAGGCAGACAGAGCTGGAGCTGAGTCCACTTCATGGAAGGAGCACTGAAGCCTCAAGTCATGGGACTGGGGAGTGGCAGAGCCCATCCACAACCTGCTCATTGCTCCAGCAAGGGGACATGGCATGCCAAGGCGAAGTCACCACCAGACACTGCATCAAACCGGGGTTTTGGGTTCTGCAATCCAAGTTCCAAACCCAGTTCTACCATTTCCTGGATACAAGGCCCTGAGTACATCTTTCAACCACCCCATGAGGAAGGCTCACTTTGTTCCCATTCGACAGCTGGCCAAACCAAGGTGCATAAAGGTTAAATCCCTGCCCAACGCCACACAGCTGGCTGACAGAAAACCTGGGATTTGGATCTAGAAACATCTCATTTCTCTACAATGCCCTCCCCTGGTGTGGCCCCGGTTCCCATTTCCACCCACATTGTGGCCATAAATTTGCTACTATCTGCAAAGCTTAGGTGCTGGGCTGTTCTGGCCCCAGGACTGGACTTCTTAGCTGGGCCCTGGTAGGTGGCAGTACAATAGGAAAGTCCCAGGCATCTTGGCTCCACCTTCTTCATGACGTGTCTTTGGATGGCTTCCCTGTGTCTCCATCTCTTCCTCCGTAAAACAGGGAAGTCATGCCTCCCCTGTCACTTGCAGTGTGAGCCGCAAAAAGCCTCAAAGAGCGGCCTGTGCTGCTGGAGCACGCATCCAGTACAAGTCTCTAAGATCATTTTCTAGTTTGGATCAGGGTCACTTGACTAAGTGCTCTGTCCTAGACTTGGAAAGGTACTCTTGAGGGCACTGATCTGACGGTGCCTCCCAACCACAGGCAGAGGAGGGGGCGCAGTCCTGCAAGGAGCTCCACTGAGCCCCAGCATCTATGCGCAGAATGGGGGGCGGGGCCGGGCGGGAGCGAGGCAGGAAACGCCCTGAGACTCTGGGGACCCGGAACTCACCTTGCGAGGGCCGCAGCTCCTCCACGACGCTCTCCGCGGCTGTCTCCTCGTCCCACGTGCCGGCCTCCACCACCTTGTAACGACTGCGGGGCTGGCTGAGCACGTGCGGAGCCTGCAGCGCAGCCTCGCGCTCCGCCGCCAGATCCAGGTCCTGCTGCGCCAGGTGTGCCCGCAGTTGCCGAATCTCAAACTGCAAGAGGCAGAAGGGCTGGGCTGGGTGTGCCTGCAGAGGCAGGGGAGGAACAGGGACCTGTACCCTGACACTTTACTCCTGAATGGGGGACCTAGGCCGGAGGAGAGGGCTGAGCATCCAAAGGCTGAATGCTGTGTGCTCCGAAGAAATATCCCAACAATGAGAGTTTCTTATGTTTATGGAGCCTTTTCCAGGTAGTAAGGTGTGATCCTGAGTCTCAGATACAGCATCGCGGGACCCCACTGTGAGGCCATGAGAAGAAACACAACCGTGGTTTGTGGGAAGACCCCTCGATGGGGAGTCAGGAAACTTGGGTTTCAATCTGGTGCTAGCTGCTTGCCCAGATGTACCACTCTCAGGGGTGTTTGACAAAATGAGAACCTTCGCCAGGTGCCTTGTACTGACAGGAGACCCAGGGCCCATGCAACCAGCCCATCTTGGTATCACATGCCTGCTTGTCCATCCAATGGCTTCCCTTTCAGCAACATCACTTCCCTCTCCCATGAGGTGTTGGGGAGGATCCTCAGGCAGACAGGATTGGGCAGTGGTCCCTAGCCCTGTGGATGTGGTCTTAGTAATTTCCTTCACCTTCCCCAGTCTTGGTTTCCTTGTGTGTAAATGGAGTCTTCACCTGAGGACTTTAGCTGCTTCGTAAGGGTTTTGTAAAAAAAAAAAAAAAAACAAAAAACTACACATTTTAATTTTGATTTCTTTCTTTATTTATTTTTTTTGCTGGGGAGAGCTTCTTAGAAAGGCTTCCAGATGCCCCTTGGGTTTGTGGCTGGGATGGCTATTCACACTCCCAGCCTTCTCAGGACTTCTGGGTGGAGGTGGGCTGACACTAAAGAGCCTTTACTGCCACCTAGTGTCCTGGGCTCCCATTGCGTTGCCTCTGTGCAGTGAGAATGGGCAGGAGGGAGGGGACTAGCAGAGTCCAGGGTGAGGTTCCTTCCCTAGAAGTTTCTCTAATTGCCACTCATGCCCAAAAGCATATCTCAAGCTCTGAACCGCCACCCCCAACCCCACCGGACTCTGGAATATCAGACTCACACCTTCAGCAACCTATGTGGCAGCACCATGTAGCAGTTCACAGGAGTTGCAAACTCAACCTGGCCAAAATAGGACTCCACTTTCCCCCCAAACCTGCTCCTCGGGTGTTTTAATCTCATGTTAGTTGGAGTCAGTGTCCGGTCTGCTCCCCAAACCCAGCTCCACCTCCAAATGCTATGCCAAGCTGCCCACTCCCCACCTCTCCTGCCAGCTGTCACCTGGCCAGCTACAGCTTCTGCATCCCTCAACTGGCATCTGCAACAGGAGCCACAGGGATTCTGGCAGACCTAAACCACCTCATGACACCTGTCTATGGGTGTCGATGGTTTACCACCTCACTCAGGAGAAAGCCCAATTTCCTCACCCTTGGTTCACAAATCGTGTGCATCATCTGGCTCTCCCCACCTGACCAACTGCATCTCACCTGATCTTCCCTTTCTCTGCCCCCACCACACAACCTTCTCATTGTTCCACGTGACACCAAGCACAGGTGGTCTCAGGTCTCTTCCCCAGCTGCTCCCCTAACCCAGATCACCTGGCCAACTCAGAAAGTCCTCAGAGGACTTTCCCTGACTCTCATACCACATCTACCCAGGCATTCAGTCACATCAGCCTATGTGATTCTCTACATTTCATTTACCACATTCTGATGATTTTGTGTGTTTACTTATTTATTTTAATATCTTTATTCCATTCATTCATTTTTATGTGGTGCTGAGGATCAAACCCAGGGCCCTGCACGTGCTAGGTGAGTGCTCTATGGCTTGAGCCACAACCCCAACTTAATTACTTTTATTTTTATGAAAGTAGAATATACACATAACTTAGCATTTACTAACCCTATGGTGGCCAGGCAACAAACCAGCATTGGACACTGTCAGTGTCTGTGTGTTTTGGTCTTTGTGACCACTTGGGCTTTCCAGAATTCTCCAGCCTCTTGCCTGGGGATATTCTTCTGTTTGCCTCTGGGCTGGGAGCAGGGCAGGAAAGCAGGCAGAAGGTCACAACTCTAGGGGAAGGAGGCTCAGCCCTGCACCTTTCCCCAGACCCCCGCCTCACCCACTGCCTGTGTGTAGAGCCTCCTGGTTCAGTTTCTCCAGAGGGCAAACCTCCTGACTCGTGCAGGGTGGGGCATAGTCTCCTGGTCCTTTAGGATGTGGAAGGGGTTCTTAGGGATTTTTAAAACTGTATGTGAAGAGTTTTAGCCAATCCCCTGCCTGGTGTCGATTCATACCACATCACCCTCCTCCTAGAGCCTCAGGGTTTTACGGGGAGAATTATTCCTTTCCCCTCACCACCCTCCTTTGTAGGCACATTAATTATAAATTCTCCATTTTGCTAGATCAGTTACACTTTCTTATCTATTTTCCACCTTCCTAAATCCCCTGAAATCTCTCTCCTTTTTCTCCTGGTGGACAAAACTTAAAGAGACAGTTTACTTTTTATGCCTTTTCCACTTTCACTATCATTTTAGTGAAAAGACAGTGCAAAAAGAAAAAAGAAAGAAAAAAAAACACAGATAACTTTGTGTGGTTCCTCCACATTTTCTGTAATATCTGTTTACCTCTCTTTCACTTCCAGTGGTGTGCTGATAAGAAAAAGAAGAAAGCCTGATTCACTGTGTATGATAATTTTTCAATGTAAATACTCTTGCCATGACCAATTTCAAGTCACTGATATGATGTCATAGGGAATATGGAAGAAATGTACACAAGTAAGGGACAACTCCCCATCACTGACACCCTTCACCCCCCCCATAGAGTATAATCTCCAAAACAGCAGGGACCTTGCCTGTGTTGTTGCTTGGTACACAGGAAGCACTGGGTAGATTGGTAAATGAATGAATAAAACTAATTAGTTCGGTTCTGTGGTTTCAGACTGAGCCTAACCCCAGTCACGGCCTGAACACCAATGCTAGCCCAAAGCAGAGACAAAGACTGTGCCCTGACCCTGGCCATGCACTGAGCCCTGATGGTAGTCCCATTCTGAGCCTTCACTTGGATCAGAAACGGAGGCAAATCCTGGTCATAGATTTAGCCCTAACTTTGGTCTCAGACTGGGCTTAGACTCTAGACCTCAACACCCAGCACGCAAATGGAGCTGAAAGTCTCAGAGAAAGTTGGTCTTGGAGTGGTCTTTTGTGCAGGGGGCAAGGGTGTGAGCCACCTCTCTGGCAGCAAGATCTTTTAGAGGTCATGGAAGGTCCATGAGGTAACCCTGCCGAGCTCTGGTGGGGCCAGGAGCCCCTCCTTCTCAGACTGATCTGAACTTCCCATGGGCACACCCAGCCTGCTTTCTCCAAGGCCACACAACTGGGCCTACAGGCCCTGCTAATGGCTTCCTAGGCCACTCTGAAGGGATGCATTATTGATGGCTTGTAATTGATATGGAGCTGCCCTAGAGAGTCCCCCTGGAATTCAGGCCAGACAGCTGGAGGCCAGGGCTTGCCCAGCCCCAAGCCCACATGTGCACACACTGGCACACACACAGAAACAAGTTTTAAACAAAAGATGTGAACTCCAAGTGTGCAGTAGTTCTCCCATTCATTCATTCACTAAGAGGTCAGGGGAAACCTTGTGCACACCATGTTAGAATTGTTATATATTTTGCAATGAAAATTCCTGTCCCAGCTTGAAGATGGATGACTCCAGCAAGATAGGGGTGAATGTGAAATCTGCTATACCACAGGGAACAAGTCCCCTATGAGAGTCACAAGAGCTGACCCTGGGGTGGTACTTATGACAGAGGAAACATGATATGTACAAGAGACAGATGATCAGCTGGTGGCGGTGGGGGTAGGGGTTGGCAGGTGCCACTGGGCAGAGTGTGTAGCCACGGAGAGATGATTTAAGGATTTCCATCTTTATTTAAAGAGCAAGAAACCACTGGAATCTTTCACACAGAAGGGCGGAGCAGGGGCAGTGTTGGTGCAGTGACTCAAATGAGCAGTTTGAAAGGAATACACAGAGGGGGATGGGTCGGATGAGACCTGGGGGATATGGGATAACACACTGGGGTTACTGCAGTGTCCAGGTCAGAGAGGACCAGATTTGGACTAGGTGGAAACAGTGAAGATGGAGAGAAGAGGAAGACAAGAGAACTATTTAGGAGGTGAGAAAGTCAACACAGGGCGTGAACTGGGGTGGGGATGAGGGAGAGGGTACCTACTTATGACACAGATTTTTATAAGCTTCATATCCAGAGGGTGTGGGGTGAGAGCATCCAGCTCTCACCCTGAGAAAGAATGATTGACTCCTGAGAGGGAAACTGTAGATGGCCAAATGGCTCTCAACCCTGAGATAGGCCAGCGGTCTCAGGATGTTCAAGGGAGACCCTCGAACCTGGCTCCTGACTCCCTCCATACTTAATGTGGCTGCAGGTGCTTCCCCAGCCAACCAAAGGGCAGTCAAAAGGTCCTAGGATGTCGGAGCCTCTTCAGTCAGATGGGCAAATTGAGGCCTGAAAGTGGGAAGGAGTCCCACGTGCTGGGGGAGAGGATGAGGGAAAGGCTAGGACTACCTGGCGCCTCAGCAGCAAGCAGGAAGCAGAGCCCGGGCCTCTGGCTTCCAGACCCTATGGTGTTGGGTCACAGGTCTTGTAGCCTCATCAGTGAGATGGAAGGGACTCAGCCAGAGTATAGGGCAGCTTGATGGAATCAGGCTCCAGGAAAGAGCAAGGACAAAAGCCAGGGCTGGAGGCAAGAGCCTGAGCTCTTGGCCCATCAGCCCTCCCTCATTCTGACTTTGACTAAGTCCCTTTTCCTCTCTGGGCTTCAATTCACTGTGTGTCCAATAAGAGGAAAGACTAGCGGAGTTCTGAGTCTACAGTGAGCTCTGTCCTAGCTCTGGGACCTGAGCTGGGAGGGATGAAGTGCAGGTGTTAGTTAATCCTGGCTGTTGCCTTTAGGGCCACCCCGCTCCCTGCTGAGATGTCCCACTCCTAGAGGATCTCCTCTTTAGAGAAAGATACATAACCCAGAA